CTGCTACTTGTCTTCAGCAAAATAAATCTATCTGTTCATGTACAAGCTGGTTACTCACCGATAAATGCATGAAATTACGTCGTTTGGTCAATTTCTTTTTCTCCCTTTCCACTTTCTCTTTCTGCGCAAGTTGTCTATAATATTCCACCAGGACATTAACCTGAAAGTCAGCCAAAAAAATATGAGAGAAAAATGAAAACAGAACAACATGCTACCCTGTTAAGTGAACAACACTCTTACACTTCCAAGATATCATTAGTAATCCTCCTTACTGTCTGTCACACAATTCTCTTCGTTTTATCATCGAGAATACAATATCAGGGAGGCAAGTGGTGAGAATAAAGATAAATATCAATTAAGGGATTATTTGTTGATCCAATAACAAATTCTCAAGACCAGCAATATGAGAATTATATGGCAGACAGTGAGGAGAATTACTAATGCGATATTAAGAGTGAGAGGATTAGGATAGAGTGTACAAACAGAGCTTCTGTTTTGTCCAAGACTAGTGACTGGTTACTGCTAAAATCTGATTAAAACCACTTCACCTTGCAAACTATAGGCATTAGCGAGAGGTGTCACTTACTATATCATGATTAATAACAGTCAAAGTCAACCAATATTTATTTGAATTAGTAATTTGAATAAGTACCCTTTTAGTAGCAGGACTCTCCTGTTCTTGCCACGCACCACTTGCTGGAAAATGAAAAAGGGAAAGTAAATTTGGCGTCAGAAGAAAGAACTTAGCAAATTATTCAACAGAAACTGTAATGCTGTAGCAACAGATAAGTGAAAAAACTTATTTAATCCTCAGTGTTCAGTAAACAATACAGATTTACTGCCCCAGGGAATATTATAGAGCTTAACTTTCAATGGTTAGAATTTCAGTTAATAAACTTGACATCACTATGTATATTCTCCATACAGCTCATCATATATTTCCTTAGGTGCTGGTAAGGAGAATTTGTTAAAAAACCAAGAGCTTTTTTAGCTGGTGATCATTTCTCTTATTCTCAGGACCTTAAGAAGTGATTCAGGGGTGAAATTGTAGGGAGAAATTAGATGCTAGTCACTCTTAGGGTTCAAAGTGTTA